TTTGCAGAAGACCAGCTGTGCCGTGCATTTTGGCCCTTCCCAGATTCATGTGGTCACACTGTGCATGCCAGCACACTTGGTGGTGAGACACCAACACCACACGTATAGCCTCCCTGGCATGATTCAGATTGTGCTTTGCATGCCAGCTCTTCTGCCTTGCAAGAGGCTGGACACTAGCTCATTTTCAGTGGGAAAAGTTGCACAGTGGTTATCATCTTTTAGGTCTCCCCAAAGGAGGCAGCTGATCCCACACAAGGGAGGCTACAAGTGCACACATGATTATGTGACTTGTGCCTCACTACAAGATTGTGTAGACTACATACAAGACTGTTGTACAAAGGCATCTGCTTTCTGTTCAGGGCATTTTCTCAGGAGCCCTTTTAATGGGCTCTGTGCTGTGTTTGGGTCTCTTCATCTTCTGTGCCTATGGCTTTGCTCCCACAAAGAAGGCACAGAGGCACCCTTGTCTCCTCTATCCTCAAGGCATGATTACTCTTTAGATAGACTGAAGCTGTGGGATCACCTCCAGCAAAGAAGCTGTTACACAGTCACTACTCAGATCCACCTGTACTGCAAAGCTCCTGGGGATTCTTCACAGGGAAGTTAACTCCTCAGGATGAAGTGTTTTGGGGGTGAACCCTCTGCTAATCCGAAGAGAGTTTAACGAGTAAAATAGCAAATGGACTTCCTTTGAAAAGAGCCACCTCTGTGTGAATCCAGCTGTGAATTTACATCTCCCAGGAGGAAGCCCTTGTCCTCTTGCTTCCTGTTAGAGAAAGGGAAGGCAACATGCATCTGACAATGAGGAGAGCAGCTCGCCTGTAAGGAGAATGCGTCAGAACTAACCCAGTGCTTACATCTTGTCAACAGCCTGCCCCCATTCACCACAATGTCTCCTACATTTAAAAAACCCCTCCTTTGAAAACAAATGAATCAGGACAGCCATGTCTAACCTTCCCCAAATCCTGTGACCCAGAGCACAAGTCAGCTAGCTGCAGTGGCACGCCAGCTCTGTTCATGGCATGGGATCATGTGAGCTAGCTCATGAATGAGTGAGGGACGCATGAAATTCCTAAGACAATAGCATGGGAAGGGAAAGAATGAAAGTGTACAGAAAAGGATGAATGAAGGAGAAAAAGAAAATAATGAAACAATGAAAGCACTAAAGGCAAAATGCAACATTTAGAGGGCACGGAAGAAAGAACGTAGACCGCCTGGAAGAAAGAACGGGAACGTTTCTTGTATTAAAAACATGTGTTAACCTATTTTATTTAGTGTAGTCCACACACACGTGGGATGTGTTTGGAATTTGATGCACAGGCATTTGATACACAGGCTGGAATCAGACCGGTGGTCTAGTGGCCACATGGTACAACACATGCTGGGATTCTAGCTCTAGACCCTTAGTCCTGGTCTGGCTGTGTAGAAGAGAATGGGCCACAACATGTTCTCTAGTAGCTCTGGTTGCCTGACTGTAGGTGTGATGGGAATAGGCTCCAATGGGAGATCATTGATCCCCTTCTATCAAACATGTGCTGGGAAGTCTGGTTGAGGAGGGAATGAGGGCATATGGTGCAATTTTCAGCTTGCCTACATGGGGACATTTACCAGTAGATTACGTTGCTAAATTCTCCTGGATAAATAAGTCCTTAGGCACATAGTCCTATGGACTTGTCCATGTGAAATAAGGTGCTTTTGAAAATCCTCCCCCACTCCTCCCAGCATGTTCAAAAACTACAGAGTTCCCTAGAAACCATTTAATTGATCATACTTTAGATAAAAGGAAATTAGATGAGAAATTTCATTGGATGAAAGGCAAACTGCAATGCCAAGCCTTGTAGGGACTCATGGAAGTCTTGCAGTGGGAGCGCAGTACACAAGAAATGTACCAGACATCATGCACTATAAAGATCTTTACACCTATATCTATGTAAGCTGTACTGTACATTCTTGTCACTTGCATCTGCCTGCATTTGCTGGACATACGTGGAAGAAGTCATGTTTTTAAAGGACGGTGCAAGATGTATCTGCACAATTATCAATTCTTTATATGACTAAAGAAACAGGCATTGGGTGGTTCACCCAGTGTCAGCTAGAAGAACTTAAGAGCATTAAAATGTCCCTTGAAGCCAACAGGAGTTTCCTGAGTAAGGGCTTCATGCTGAGGCTGGAGTTTGTGACAGGGAAGTGCATGAGGGAGGCTGGAGACTTTCATGGTTGTTTTAAAGGCTGCCCTATTATTTATTTATTTGCCTGGGCTAATTTAACCTGCCTATGACAGGAACAACACTTAGAGTACACATTTCTGACATGAGTTTTCAAGCACTGTTTGTATAAACTACAGCTAAATTAACACAAGAATTTGCATAAATAATTGAGATACCTCTGAAACAACAAGGGGCTGGATTTCCAAAACCAGGCCTGTGTAATTTGTATGAGTAGCCATTACCACAGTGCACACAGTCAGAGTTGCTGTGTGTGATGATGTGTGTGCATTTAATGTCTACAGCCAGCACCAATGTGCTGTTTCTAGGGTGCATGGTACTGCTAGCAGCAATACCAATTCCTGTCCTCCATCCCCACAAGCACTCATAACAAAGTGGCTGCTGCTTCTGCTAAGAGAAAGAGGGAGGTCACTTGTCCTGCTGACAGCACTATATAGATGTAGCCTGTCTGTGCAGGCTACAGACATGGAACACACTGATGCACAGAGGCAATGAGCACGCTCATAGAAGAACAATCACACAGGGCATCACTGGTGCTCTAACACTCTTGTATTAATACAGGAAGCGAGGGACTGGGATGGAGGAGAAAGATTCTGCTGTGGACTCAGTGAGGCCAATTATCCTCTGATTTATACCAGTACAACTCCATTAACTTGAAGGGAAATGCTCTGCTTTACACCACTGAGCAACGAGTTGGACTGATTTGATGTTGGGAAAGCACTTAGCTTTTCTGTGCCTCAGTTTTTCCCGTTTGTAAAATGGAGCTAAAGATACCCCATCCCCCTTGTTGAATGCAGTGAGACTCACCACTGAGACATCCCACTGGAGCACTAACTGTGAGTGAGGGTGGCAGGGCCCAGGGACACTAACACACCAAGGCACTTGTGTTATAATGAAAAACCCAGAGTATATAATTTAAAAACACAACATCTACTATAGATTTGAGCTGGGAGGCAGAGCCTGAGCTCCGCAGTAGGAACCCTTTTCATTGGCACACTGCTTGTTTTTCCAAGAGACGAAGACACGGTGAGAGTGTAGGGAAGGCAGGAAGTTATCAAGATACTGCTATCACAACAGCCTCACTTCTTGTGCTGAGGCTGCACTTGGATATCAACAGAGAATCTGTCTGGAGATGCAGCCCACACATTATTTGCTGGAGAGAGAAGGAATTACTTTTATTTGTGCTCTCAATATGAAAATATTTGAGAGAACATGCATCTCAGTTATGACCAGATCAATATACGGCATATACCCAGTATATTAAAAGCAAGGCAGGATCAATGTCAGGTACCAACAGAAAAAAAATAACCCTGATGTACAAAAGAGAAAAGCCTTAATGCTCAGACCCAAGTTTGGAGCCTGATTTCACCAAAGTTCGTGGGAGATTGGATTTGAGTTTCCACTCCACTGTACCCTATATGAAACATGGGGGTCCACATTCATGGCCCTGGGGTTCAGACCTACCTATGATTTACAACAAGATATTTAGTACAACCTTTCAAACCTCATGGAAGGAAACCTCCTCAGAGAACTATGGCACAAGGTAATAGAGGAAACTTGTCTGAGGCCCTAATCCTGTCAACAGTGTGCACCTCCTGAGACAAGGTGCTAAGTGACCTTGTCTCCCACTGCCTTGATTGTCAGATGGGTGGGGGCTCCTTTGTTCCTAATGCTGTTCATCTCAGATGTCACGTTTGCCATAGTGCAGAGACCAGTGTTGTATCTAAATGCAAACCACACTCTCTTTTCTTATCCCTCACTTGTAGGACAAAAGGTTGTTCAGAGCTAAGGAAGAAGCAGAGGTCCAAGTAAGTCACCTGGGCCAACTGGGAAGGGGCAATCACTCTGGTTGAGAATCACTGAATTTCCTAGCCCTACTGCTCAAAGGCCTAGCAAGGCTCAATGTCAGATTGGTAATAATCCTGAAGACTATGATGGGGAGGAGGACATGAATGGCTAGAGCCTGGCTCTGGAAGAGCATTATGGCAAAAGGAATCTGAAGGATGAAGCACAAACCTGACAGAAGGGGAACGTGCTGTCTGAGAGACAGATTGCTCACAGAAACAAAAAAGAGCTAAGATCAGTGGAGCCTAGCAGGATTCAGTACCTGAGGAGGAAACGCAGGGAGCCAGGGGTTCAACTGGACAAGTGAGCAGAACTCAGTAGGAACAGGTGTTCTACAGTCACCTGACCAAGGATCTCAGAGCACTTCAGAAACACCAACAGATTCAGACTTGAGATTTATCATCCCCTTAAAAAATGGAGGCTAAGCCCTGTGCTCCAGTAGTGAGAGTCAGTGACAGGGGCAGGAAGAGAACAAGTCACCCTGTCCATAATGATAGGATGGTATGCCCTGTGCCCTGGTGTCCACTAAAACTTTCCAAAAAGTGCCTCAGGGTATTCCTTTAATATCTGAAAGAATCATGGGCTCTGATCTTCCTCTTGCTCACCCCAGACTTACCCCCTTCAAAGCCCTTGCACCAGTGCAAACTTAGAAATAAGCCTGGTGCTATTGTACTTGGCCCAGCCAGAAGAGCCCTGGGGAAGGAGAAGCTGAAAGACAAGGACAACAGTTTCAAGTCACTAGGGCTGAAGATGGCATAGGGGCTGTGCTGAATCCAGATTTGGACAGAGGGAATGAAGATGAGGGGACAAACTCACAGAGGGGGAGGAGTGGGCAGAAGGGAGTGGGGCCCATTCAATCAAAGGGTGAGAGAAGATGGGAAGGGGAGGGCAGGGCTGTGGAGAAGGGAGTAGAGGGACATCTTCACTTACTCCAGGACATCCCTGTTGAACTGTTTCTTGCTGTTGCCCAGGAATTCACCAATCATCTGGCGGCTGAGTCCCTTGCGCTGGAGCAGAAAGTGTGCCACCCCGATGGGTGTGTCTGGGATGAAGCCCCGGGAGATCAGGAACTGAATCCCTTTGTCTGGATTTCTGGAAGGGAAGGACACAAGAGGTGAGTCTGGATGCTCTTTTCAGGGCTCCATTGCCTCTGCCTCATCATCTCTCACCTCGCAGCAATGTGATGACAGTTCCCCTGGGACAGCCAGTCTGTCTAACTCTCCTCCCATTAAAGTGGATCCGAGTCACCAGCCAGGTGGTGGGCAGGAGTGAAGCCAGTATTCAGGAAAGAAACCTCTTGAGTCCTACTGTGTTAGAGGTTAAGGAAGTGGAACTGGTTCTGATGATAACACCCCTGGAAACTCCCATGGTACCTGTCTTGCCAGTGTGCCACCCTGTTGGGCACCCTGCAGAGTTCTGGAGGGATTGACCGAACTGTGAGAACCCACCAAGGGTGACACACATGGGACATAACCTCCCCCACTCCTCACTCCTCAGGCCAGACTGACTTGGACTGGTCCTATCAGTTCCCTATCTGATAACAATGACAGCCAGGGCCTGCATGAGCTCCCTGTCAATGAAAGGCGAGCAAAGGAAGAGATTGCCACACCTGCCATTAATACTTAGCCTTCCTGCTGCCCAGAAACACCAACCACCTTCACCTATCCCTGCTTTATGCTAGAGCCTCCCCTTCCATTGGAGACATGAGGCTCTGCTGCAACTAGCTCATGAGACTGAACTAGCACCTGGAACAGCAAGCTTAATGCCTACCCATCTCCTCATGACTGCCCTTCTTCTCCATCAGGACTGCCTCTCAGAGGCCCCTGTCCACCCCCTCCACACCTCTCCGGAGAATGTGGGTGCCCATCCTCTCATTCCTCCAAGTGTAAACCTTTCAAGCCTGACTTTGATTCTGAGCACTGGAGGAGTCACTCCCAAGGACGCCTGTGAGTTACATTATGCGAGTTCAGAATCATCTCTCTTGTATTCCTTATCCTATGGGGCACATGGGAAGAAATTATTACATCAGGGTGGGATTAGAGGTGCTTTGGACATGCTTATATGGGTAGGTGGCTGCAAAGCATGCATTAGCATAGACATCAGCAGCCCATGGAACATCAGCAGGTCCAGCACATCCAAATGCAGGTCTGCACTGCAGAGGAGAGGATGGGATAACAAACTAGTTGGCTGTGGATTACCCCACCAAGATGACAAGGATGAAATCCTGGTTCCCTCCTTTAGAAGTCAACAGGAATTTTGCTGTTTACCTCTATGGGGATAGGATTTCATCCCACCACTCTGTAGCCAAGAGGTGATAGAAGAAGGTGGTACATAAAGGGGCTCAGAAGACACCACAACTCTACAGAAAGTGGGCAGATAGGGATGAATAAATACAGGTGGGCTGAACTCCTCTGAGAATGACTAAATCAGACTGAGTTTGGACTGAGATTGAACTAATCCCCTCCCTGCCCCATACAAACATACAGCTTGTTGGTGTTCTAATTAGAACATGTTGGAGCAGACTCAATTAATCGAGTCTGTTCCCTGTCCCTCTTTCCCCCTGTCTGTCCTTCTTTCTTTCCATTCAGTGAGATGCAAAGTTTTCTTATGGTGGTATCTGTTATTGGATCAACTGCATAATTGGGATAGAGTTAGATTTGTTAAATAGAGTTAGAATTATGTAGTTGGTCCAATAAAGGATGACACCCTAAGAAAGCCTTGCCTCTTGCATAATTCCTGGACCATTATGGCTACAACATCACTCTACTGTTTCTATTCAGTGACACTTTCTCTTTCAGCTAAGCCTGGTGCTGACTGGTCTCATTTCTTTTATCCCAGGACGTTCTAGGGGGTATAACATCTCCTTCGTCTCCTCCCATCTTTCTTCTGTTGTTCTTCCCCTTATTAACCATCTCAGGGTGAAGTCTGTATGTACTATGTGTGCAAGTGCACATATGTGTGTATGCATGTGCATGCATGGGTGCATATGCATATGTACGTGTGAGAGCGCATTTATGCAGATATGGGGATCTGAGCATGCTCCTCTATCTGAAAGTGCCTCTCCATCTGTGTTTGTCTGAGCATGGCTGTGCCTGCCCACGTAAATGCATTTATGTCTGAGTGAGCTTTTCTCTCAGAATGAGTGTGTGTTTTTGCAAGCCTGACTGTCTCAGTAAGTCTTTTGCTGTTCCTGTTTGTCTCTGTCTACGTACAGAACTCTCCATGACGTGTGTCTCTGAGTGCTTTTTATGTGTCTGCATGTGTTTATATGCTGGTGCAATTCTGTGGATACATGTAAGAGGGTGTAGGTGAATGCCTCTGAGGTCGTGTGCTGTTATGTGTGTGTCCATCCCAGGTATGTTTCTGTGTCCACGTCTGGGTTTCTCTGAGTGGCTGTGTTTGTGTGTCCTGCATGTGCCTGAGCATATGTGCAGGAGTGTGCCTGTCTGTATTTGGCATATATGCATGGGCACACAGGAGGTTCTCTTTCTGTCCCTTCTCCCTCACCCCCTTTGGCAGGCTGGCGGTTGTGATGAACTCTAGCAGATCGTGCTCGTGCCGTCAGTCAGAGACACAGCAGAATCAGCAAATGCTGGGATGATTTCCAGATTCCTCATGGGTCTCTCATCCAGGCTGCTGAGAGATGGGAAGGAGTGCCCCATTTCTGTCATGAGTCCCTTGTTGGGGGAACTCTGCAAAGGCTTAATGAACAAATTTGCACAAGCATTTTCCCTGGGGGAGAAAGCATAATGCATGGTTATGTGGGTGTGCCTTATTCCCCACTGACTTCTACTGCTCAGATCTACCAGCTGAGTAGGGATTTTTGTGAGCCACTCGCACAAATCTAGAATGGGACAGCATGCCCGAGAGTTGCTCATTCCACCTAGGAGAATCTCACGGGACAGAAAAAATACATGGACCTGAAGGCATGAACACAATAAATTGGGGAATGTGATTGTCCCAGGGGAATGACAGCAACTCAGCCCGTTAATAATGCACATAGGAGTTCTATAATGTGTGCCAATGAAAACCTAGGTTGGCTCAACCCATCAAGGGCTGCTTAACATGACTGGAATATGGAGTAAAAATGCAGCAACTGTGCCACCCCTCAGGAGTCATGTTGGAGTCCAGCACGTGTTGAAGAAGTGTAGCAAGTACAGCCACAAATGCATGTCAGGGGCACATCAGTAGGAAAGCACAAGGAAGCTCGGTGCCAGAGGCTGATCACTACTACACTGTTGTGAATCCAGAGTAACTCCACTGGAGTCAATGGCTTTATTCCAGATTCACTCCAGCGTTGCTCTGAGATGACTATGGCTATGTGAGTGAGACAAGTCCCAGGGCTGGATGCAGTGATATAGACAGCAGCATGGTGCAGGAAAAGCAATAAACGGCAGAGATGTAAATTAAAGCAGCTGAGCTCCCACCAGCCCCACTTAAAAATATGCAACACAATTCCTAGCACTCCATGGGCCATAAATGCAATATAATACAATGTTTGTGCACACACCTCCCACTGACTAAGAGGAACTTTCTGACTGCTTTTGCCAGAGGCTGAGCTTGTTTCCCCTAAAATCCTAGTAGGTGAAATGCACATTACTTTAGCACAGACACTGCATACCATGCATCATGCTACCTGCTCCCCTTTATATTACCCCAGATGTGTATCTGACTCCACTGCTGATATTATTTCTGAACTGGGTCCCTGACATTTTCCTTTATTTTCAAAGAAGCTAAGCATGACTGGTCTGTGCTGTGGGATTCCTACAGTCCTCCTGGCTTTCCCTCTGCCTACGCTGCTAGCCGCCCACACACAAAAAGAGCTATTAGAACAACACTATATAATGCAAGGCTCTCCACTTCAGGAATTCCACCCCCTCACTGTGAAGCATGGACCATTTAAGGTGCTGCTGTAAAAATGTAATCAGTGTATTCCCAGGGGACTGCTTAATGAAAACACAGCTGGGGGGACTAATGGCAGAGGGAGGAATAGGTAACAAAGAGGAGCCTTTTTCCTCTAAGCCAGGTCGCTGGTGACCAACAACTGATGCTGTTTGGTGAACTGGGTTTGTTGGTCTCCTTCCAGTTCCCAGTGGTTAGGTGTTCACATTACAAAACCTACCAGTCCAAATGGTCGCTTTGCTGTAAGTGTCAACTGTGAGACCAAGGACTGGATGGGCAATATATACTAGGCACTGCCATCTCAGTCCTAATAGGGTCAGGCTTGGGGCACACTCCTATGTCTCTGGTGAAGAAACTTATCCTATTGCCTCCCTTGCAGTTTCTGTTCTAGGGATAAAGAGAAGACTGCTCTCCAGAGCTGATAAATCAGCATCTTTCCCTCTCTCTAGCTAATGTTTTCCCAAGAAAAAACAGACCATGACAGGTGATTGGGAAGCAATTTCTTAAACTGATCACCAGGGAGTGCTGGGTATGGCCAGGAAATTGTGCTTCTGCCTTCTCTGTTATCATAAAATTCCCAGTCACACAGTCTCTAAAGTGATGTGGTGAACCTGGGTTAGCGAGTAAAAGAAAACTGCAGCCCTGCTTTTCAAAATAGTCAAGGAGCTGCTGATTCATCATGTACACATGTGCAAACTGAGTGTAGGAGGAACTGGAAAAAGCATTTCCAGCCTTGCTTTTTCATCACCTCAGTTCACCTGTCAGCCCCATGCATGATATAAGCCAGAGGAAGACAGATTGGTACATGGGCATGTCCAAGAATACCGAACACTTAACTTGCACAGACATGAGCACTGAGTCCATCTCCAGGAGAACACTTGTCCAGAACCAGACACATCTGAGGCTCATCTTGGTGAAACATCCATACAGACCTGCATAACCAGACTGGTGAGCCCCACATCTGCCTCTGGTGTCCATCCTCTCTGTGTTCCCATCTCCAAGAAGTAGCCAAGCAAAACAACTTAGAATACATTCCATCAGTCTCATCTCAGGTAAACTGTCCCCTTCCTCCTGTATAAGCCCCAGCTCTAACATCACCAGGACCACATGCAAAATGCCCTTTTAGATCAGGGCAAAGACCAGTGTTTCTGTGGTTTACTTCAGTCAGGAGAGCCTCACCAAGAGGCACCTCTCAAGCCCAAAAGCCCTGACAAAAACTCAACCTCCTTCAATGCAAATCCAGATTACAGGAGATGTGACCCTTTGTGTTACCTCATCTAACTCTGGTCTTGAGGTTGCTTTGCCTTTGCTTTCACACCTACAGCTTTATTCACAGGACATCAACCTCAGATGTGTGAGAGACTGAGATGACTAAATTGGGTCTGTCAGGTTTAAAATTCTACCCACACTGCTGAAAGGAAAGCAGCAGCAGCAGAAACCTTAACCCTGTGCTAGCTAAACTCCTCTTAGGCACAAGATCTGGGTCCAGTTCATACTGAGAGAAGCTCCTCACTGAGTAACCAGGACTTGGGGTCCATTCTCAGCTAAGCATCTTCTGTTATTAGGCTCAAGGGAGGAAGAACCCCGTGTCCTTCCTTTGCTGAACAATTACCAGGATTCAATATTCAACATCCTGAATGGTACCCTTGAACAGTGGGTTCATTTCCCAGGTACATGGGAGCAGTGGGATGGCAATTCGAGGGCCCAAGTTTGGACCCTAGTGGACAAAACATCTGAATGTAAACTGGGTATCTGTATGCAGTCTCCAAGGAATCTAACCCATGGACACAAAAGAATTACACCAGGGATGATTCCAGTCCAAGTGCCTTTCAAAGCCTATTGTCACCATTAATGAAGAAAGTTGTGAGGGATTAAAAGATTTAGTTCCATTAGCCACTTACATGTTAAAGAGATTCAGCCCAATGCGGTAGAGCCGCTTCCTCATGGTGTCCGTGGAAAGCGTGGGAGACTTGCAGCTGGCTGGGTTCTCACAGTGATACCGTGGGAGGCTCAGAATCATGGCTTGCAGTGCTTCCTTAGAAGAGACCTCGGACGCCGACTTGGCTGATGTGGAAGTGCTGCTGCTGCTCAGCTGCTCTGAGTTGTCCGCATTTTCAGACTCTGAGCCCTTGCTCTGCCCAGTCTCATTGTTAGAGTCAAACTGGAGTTTCTGCACCATCATTTGTCCCTGCTCTGGTCCCCCTCCCTCCACCCCGTTGGTGTTGACGTTCACCTCAGTGAAGGTGTGACTGTTCTGGAGGATTCTGGGTTCAGGTAACCCCTCCAGGGCAGCCAGAGTCTCTTTGTCCTCTCTTTCCCCCTCCCCTGGGCTTTCTTCGATTTTGGCTGCTTGAGAGAGTCCCGCCTGGGTGTTGCTGCTGAGACAGTTTGCCATGGACACCGAGGTAGATGATGAGACAGAGATGTTCTTGTTGTCAATCTGGACTGTGACATCCCGGAAGGCCATCATGAGGGTGCTGCTGCTCTTAGGCAAAGTGTCTGGCAGCAAACCCTCCTCCTTCTCTTTGTCCTTTAATTCAGCTTCCAAGTCCTGGTTTGGCTGCATCGAACTTGCGCTGAAGGTCTCTCTGATCTGGTATGAACTGCCATCTTGAAGGGAACACATGGTCTTCAAGCTCCAGGTACTTAGGGCATCATCAATGGATTTAGCCAGGGACTGGACCTGCTCTGTGAAAGAGTCCTCGAGTTCGGTCAGCGCCCCACTTATGGTGGCTGGTAAAGAAGGGGACCTCACCAAGGGGATGCCCACAAAGTTGTACCCTTCCACCAGCGCTTTCTCAGCAGAGAAGCTCTCAGAGTTCTGGACCCGGACTTTCCTTAGTGAGATGCGCCGGGGCATGCGGCTTTCCAGCAGGGAGTTCCGAATCTTCTCAAAGTTTTTGCTGAGCTGGTACTGGCGGAAGGCTGTCTGGATGGTGCAGGCTGCTCTGCGAGAGACCAAGTGGCCTCCGTATTTGTGCTCTAGCATTTCGATCTGAAACACACAAAAACAAAGCTTTTTAATTGACTTCTGAAAAGGGAGAAGCCTAATCTTATGTCTATGAAATTGTAGCAGAGATGGGGAGAAAGGGTGGGTGATCCTTATGTGTGATAAGGCTTGAGAAGGGAGGGCAAACAGAGGCTTCGTTATCCCATCAGGATAAGGGTAAGGCCTGAAGCTTCCCTGTGTGAGATAAACGATCTGGGTCTTTTCTCACTTTGATCCTACTTGCCTTCCTATGCAGAGTGGTAGCGGATGCCAAGCTGCACTGCGCACTCTGCAGGGTGAGTCTGAGCTGAGCTCCAAGCCAGATCACCTGTACCCTGCACAGTTACTGGGACTACGGCTATGCATGTACAGATCTGTCCTGCTCAGAGGGGATAGTGCTTGACACCTACTTTTTACAGGTGTCAAGGATTATGGAAGGAAGAAGGAAGCAGAGAATCTGTCTGGATGGGTAAGCATGAGGCAGAGCCCTCTGCACTATGGCTGACATGAAGGCAACCCAGGGTGCTAGACCCACCACAGTAGAGTGCCTCTGCCCTGCACCATGACCCAACCGCCCTCTTAGAGTAACATAGCTCCTCCTTCCCAAAACAGGGACAGGGGGATGGGCTTCTTTCTTTTATTCAGGTATGACCTCAGGACACTCATCCCCTCCAGTACAGCAGAAGTTAAACCCTTCCTCCCCCTTCCTCCTCCTCTTTCCTCTGAAGGCCTTTTGTGACCCCAATTTCTATACTGATTAGTAAGTAATGACAGCAAGAGGAGCTTCTAATATTGCATAAGACTTTTTTTCTGAACTGCTGTGCCCTAGAAATACCTGCTTGGAGTTCAACAAAATGAGCTCCCACCTAGCAGCAGTGTCATGGCAATGCTGGTGAGAGCAGGGGCAGAATGGTCTTCCTGAGGAGTGCCTGGGAAATACGAGGGTGGGTAAAAGCAGCATGAGCTTCCTTCCAGCAATGCTGGGGGCTCAGCATTATGAGCTGCCATACTGTGCTGCCCTCGCAGTGAGACTCTAGTGTAAAATTCTTCAGAATAAAGGCTGGTCGATGCTATATGGTACCCCAGCAGTGTGCATCTCCAAACAGAAGTGGGCTAGCAATGCCAAGCATGGTTGCTTGCCTAGAGCCCCTGTCTCAGACCTGCTTTAAGGCTTATATTCCCTCCTTCATCATAGGCTGTGGGGGAAAGAGATATTGTTTAGAAAAAGGAATAGGTCAGGAATTGTTACAATGGAATAAGGCTCAAATACAAACTATGGGCCTGATCCTATGAACTGCTTACTGACCTCAGTCTCCACTGATGCCACTGTATGTTAACTGTGCTCAGCATCTCTCAAGGGGCACTCAGGTTCTCAAGCCACTATATAAGTTCTGTCCTTAACCCCAGCATAATTTGCATTTTTCAAAGAACAAAAAACAACTCAAACGGTAAAAAATTCTTTGTTTGAAGAGGTGAGTAGTAATTTTGATTTTAAAGGTTGAGAAAAGATATTAAAGATAAACAGCAAGAGGGTCTAGACTGAAGTGCTACTAGAGCTGCTAAGGATATGGAAACATGCGCGCGCGCACACACACACACACACACACACACACACACACACACACACACACACACACACACACACACACACACACACACACACACACAGAGTTAAGAGCGATTTCAACATTACTCAGAGCAGCAGTCGTCATGCCTACCTGGGCAGTTCATTATGGTCATTTCTGCCACAATCTAGCCAATTTTCACATGAACTCTGTACTGTTTCCTATTCCCAACCGCCCCCCTCTCCCCACCCCCAACACACTGTTATTACTCTGCAGTTAAATCTTAACACGAGCCACAAAGGGGTTGTTTTCTATCTCCTTTATGCATCATCCCAGCCTTAATTCCAGTGAGTAGCCAACAGAGGATGATGGTGATGATGAAGATAATGAATGATGATACTAAGGGAAGCAGAAAGGACACAGTCTAATTTTCCCCACTAAGGTTCTGGCTGCTTTACTGAGATCGGCAGGTCCCCTCCAGCATCTGACGAAGGACTTCATCCCACAGACTGCAGGTGTTGAGTGTGGTATGTGCATGTGTATGTAAAAGCAAAGTGAGGAGTTAAGAGCAGGACAGGGAGTTTAGCCCTGCATTAATAACAAAGGAGCTGCTGCACAAGCACCATGATACTTTCTGCCTGTAAGCCAGGTCCAGTGCATTGCAAACTGAAAGCATCCCCATTTTCAAGACATAGCCAATCCCCCCACACTGGTACACACACACACACACACACACACTTCATGCCTTTTCGGCTCCAAAGGTGTGAAAAAGCAATGAGGTTTATTGCATGTTGCTCCATGCAGACAAGGCCAGAATCAGATGCAATCACAAAGGGCCTGCCTGTGCTGATGGCCCCAGCTCCGAGAGCCTCTTCATTTCATTCAGATCTTGGCTTTTTCTTTTCCTTATTTTAAGTGAGTTTCTAGATATTGGCACTACAAAGATGATCATCAGAGACAGACCTGAGCACCCCACCCTGAGACAGTATCCGACTGAGTTGGCTGAGAGCCTGGAACAATAGCTCTGCAAAATGCAAGCTGCTGTCTCCATCACAGTGGGCTATTACCTCCAAGAGGTGCTGACTTATCTAGGCAGCAAGAGAAGAGTGGTGTGTGTCCAGCCTATGCTCCCCAGCAGATACATCCCAGCTAAGCATTAAGGTGCAGACTTTCAGTAGGGGGAGGAAGGGTTTAACTTCTGCTGTACTGGAGGGGATGAGTGTCCTGAGGTCATACCTGAATAAAAGAAAGAAGCCCATCCCCCTGTCCCTGTTTTGGGAAGGAGGAGCTATGTTACTCTAAGAGGGCGGTTGGGTCATGGTGCAGGGCAGAGGCACTCTACTGTGGTGGGTCTAGCACCCTGGGTTGCCTTCATGTCAGCCATAGTGCAGAGGGCTCTGCCTCATGCTTACCCATCCAGACAGATTCTCTGCTTCCTTCTTCCTTCCATAATCCTTGACACCTGTAAAAAGTAGGTGTCAAGCACTATCCCCTCTGAGCAGGACAGATCTGTACATGCATAGCCGTAGTCCCAGTAACTGTGCAGGGTACAGGTGATCTGGCTTGGAGCTCAGCTCAGACTCACCCTGCAGAGTGCGCAGTGCAGCTTGGCATCCGCTACCGCTCTGCATAGGAAGGCAAGTAGGATCAAAGTGAGAAAAGACCCAGATCGTTTATCTCACACAGGGAAGCTTCAGGCCTTACCCTTATCCTGATGGGATAAAGAAGCCTCTGTTTGCCCTCCCTTCTCAAGCCTTATCACACATAAGGATCACCCACCCTTTCTCCCCATCTCTGCTACAATTTCACAGACATAAGATTAGGCTTCTCCCTTTACACACCTGGAAAAGGTTGAAGGCTGTTCCCCTTGCAAATAGGTCTGATTTCTTCTCTGCTCTTCACACCCCAATGAGCAACTGGGACCTATCCCTTCCCCAGCCCAACTTCCATGAGTGAAGCTCATTTAAAAATATGCATATTAAACCCATAATCTGTGCAAGTGCAATGCAACCAGCTGTGATTTGAGAACTGACCAAGCATTCTGGATAGAATGGGCTGTAACATCAGCTCCCAGGCTGATTCTGTTGGAAAGGAGGGAGTGAGGGTAGAGGGGAAGGAGCCATCTGAGGGATGGGATAATAACAAGATACAAAATAAGGCAGAAGCAGGAGAAGCTGCAGCCTCATAATTATCCAGGGTTTCCAAGGAGGTGACAGCCATGCTGGAAGCATACAACTCAGTCAGTCTGTTCTTATTAGAGGCCAGAACAAGATATAATTGCCGCTCTGTACTCAAAGGCAGATTTCTCTCAAGCAGAGGACAGTTTCTGAACCAGCAGACTTTGATAGCAGTGGCTCTCACAGGGAGAGTTGAGAGCCACTGAATAGTTTAAAGGAATGGGCCCAAACCATTGACATTAATGTACCATAGGGTCTGGCACTTGCTAATGGTCTATGATCCATCAGAGGGGTGATAACCATGTGAGACAGTATAAGAGGCATTCCCAATCTCCACAGCTTCTCACGGGCTCTGCTAAGAGCGATCACCCGTGTCAATAATATTTAGCATTAATGCAGAGCACCTCCTTGAAGCTCTCCAAGCACTTTTCAGAGACTGGGGACCTTATTCACATTTTGCAGAGGTGGAAACTAGTACGAAGAGACTTGTCCAGGCTTGTAGGCAAGGAGTAGCAGAGCCCGGAATAGCATTTGGGTCTCCTGACTCAGTCCAGCCGTCTGCCACTGGCCCATATAGTCTCTTCACTGCAGTTAGGCTCCACTGTCCTCTTTCTTTCATCCTCTCCCTCTGTGTCGCTCAGCTCACCATTTCTTGAGGCCTGCAATATTCCTATGTGATGCTGAACCAGGCTATCAAATGTCCTGCAAAAGTTAGGGATTTCACATGCTCTCTGTTGAGCAAGGGAAGAGGACATCTATTAACACTCCATTGTGGTAGCAAGTAATGGAGATGTATGTCTGGCTCACTGAAGGAACCTTCTCTTTCCATGTGAGAGGCAAGAGAAGGCAGATGTGATTGGCCTTCTCTCACTTCTAATAAACCCTATGAATCACAAGTAATTGCCTACTTAAAAATGCTCTTCTCTGGGGAATGATACGACAGCAAGCACCAAAGGAAGAGGGGAGGTATTGGATTTAAAAGAATAATTAGCTTAATACGTTTCTGGGCCTCAAAATGAATGCTCAGTCCTAGCAGATCAGCCCTTCTGGCTGAATTAGAAACAGCTGGGAAATAGCTGTAGCCAAGAGGGACTGTGGAAGGAGGGAGCATTTATCAACCCAACCCAAGGCCAGCCCTACTGCCTGGCTGGGATGTGGCAGTACATTTGAGATACAGTCCCTGTGGCTTCAGTGCCCACAGCACGTTGAAGCAGGCACAGGTTCTCCAAAAGCAACAGGCCTGATGCTGACCTCACTAATGCAC